CCCCCCTCAATATCTTCGGAACCAATACGTCTATGAGCATGAAATTTTCACACAATGGTCGCCCACGTAAAACGAACCACCACACCCAGTCTTGACCCGTGGGAATCAAATGTGACGTCATAATGACGTCATTTTCACCATTTTAACGATTTATAATTCATTTTAATAAATTGCCTACAATTCCATAGAGAATGCTGCAATATCATCTGGTTATTATTGAAATGACTTGAAAATAATATTTTTGTATTTTTTAATTGACCTCTGTTCTATATGACGTCACAATGACGTCATATATATCAGGTAATTTTTATAAATTATATATCTATACATGTATCTAGATAACCAGTTAAATATCATATTTAGGCGTTACTCCTCTCCTGTGATGTTGTGGTTCATTTTGTATCCATGGTATAACAGTTGTGACGTCATAATTGTGATGACGTCATTTCCTATAGTGTATTTGTCGTTTTTGAATAATTTGACTCCAAATCTCACTTTTTTTTTCTACATCGTTTTTTTATGGTAAAATTTACAATTTGAGAAGTTTTTGAAGTTAAACAATTTGGAACAAGCAATTTTGAGAAGAATATCCGGCATCTTAGGATCCGCCATCTTGGACCGCCATCTTGAATTTTCTAAAATGCCATTAAAAAACTAAGCATTGAGGCAAACAGCTCAAAATGTCTTAAATACTTCTCAAACTAACATTTAATGAATAAAAAAGTGAGTTTCGAAGTGTTACTGATGATTTTAATGAAATTTTCTCCCATGTGAAAAAATGACAGAAAATTACCCACCCCTCCCCCCAAAGTTTTTGTTGTCGAAAAAGTATTATGGTATTGTAGAGTCAGCAATGGGAGCAAGCTCAAATAGGTAAAAGATGCATAATAAAACAAGAAATAAGCTTTAAAAATGAAAAATTAAGCTTATTTTACATTTTTGAAAACCTATGTGTCAAAAAATGGTTGCCATGGCGACATGGATGACGTTATCAACAAAAAATTTATATCAAAATCTGCCCAGATAAATTTTAGGAGAAGTACCGAAGATACTGAAGGTGCTGGATGATAATTTTCCCGCGTAGAATTGTCTAGGATCATTGAACGTTGAATTTAATTTTTGCTGTACCAAATTCAATTCTCTAGTGCCCAACGCCTGTGAAAATTCATTGTTTTGTATCTCACATGAATCAGAAACGATACCGGCTTCTGTTGTACTTCACATGTACAAAACTATAATCGGCTTTATCTATAGTTCAGAAGTCCTTGCGGCTTTGCCAATAACTACTTTTTGCCACTTAAACACACTGCCATAGAAACCTTGATTATAAAACGAAATCTGGAATAAATTAAAGAGTGCACATGAGAGATTTTAGAAAATAATTATACGATTTGCCAGCTTGTTAAAAACAGGTGCTGAAAGCTTTTACATATCGGAAAGAAAGAAAGAAAAAAACAAAAATCCCGCTGATTATTAATTAGAGCGGAAAGTGAARAAGTCGAAAACGTCAAATATATTATAGTACTTTCTTTTTGACTATAAATGGCGAAGAGTGAATTATTCTTTCATTGCATTTATACATCATTGCCGTTACTTATCAGAAACTATTAAAAGTCTAACGCACTCTTTAAAATGAATTAAAGATCAATTTATAAACTGCAACTGTGTGAAGCCTGTGTGATGAATTTGATCAAAGCTAATTATGTCAAATCACTAATCCATTTCGCAAGCTCTGAAAGCTAATAATTTCAAATGCACTATT